GGGTGAAATATCTCAATCATTTGTATATGGTCAAGATTTACATATCAAGTTTGGTTCATCATTTTGTGTCTTTTTCTTTTCTTTTTTTTTTTTTAAAGATTTATTTATTTATACTTACAAGAACCAGGGTACAGGCCAGATGTGCGGGAGGGTGAGAGGATTCATAAGAGACAGAGTGGAGAGCAGAACAAGCAGACTGACTGAAACACACTGCTGAGGGGAGCAGCGGGCAAAACAGGAGAGGTCTGCCGCACCATACAGATACCTCCCCAGTCGGCTGGGATCGAACCCACACTGCAAAGGGTGCATTAAACCTCCTTTGCCACCAAGGAGGCCCCATTTTGTGTCTTTAAGTGACCATCAAGTGTATGTCAAAATAGACAATGGAAAACAGACATTTCTTCCAACTCTGATGCTATCACATGTATTGTTATTATTATTATTATTAGTTGTTTTAATATTTCATTCAAACTAATTTTTTTGAGTATCTGCATGTGTGAAGCATGGATAAACAACACATGGTCCTTTCTTTCAAGAACTTATATTCTTGTGTGGGAAGACAGGGTGGCTTGTCTGGTATATTGAATACCCACCACATAAGGCTCTGTGGTATCCTTGTATAAGGCAGCCATCTGCCATAAAGAGACTTAGAATCCACGAATTAGCAGAAGACCAAACTATTGTTAGTCTTTGGTAAAAAGGATCACTAAGATATGACAAATTACCATTGTTTGGAGGGTTAGAGTGATACTAATTATGGCCCACTCAAATGGACATTCCCAGCCATAGGAGACACTTAGGGTGTTAATTTAATATATTAAAAAACATTACAAAACGGGGGACGGCATCTGTTGTATTTTCTAAGACTGAAATAAAGGGAGTTTCTTGCCTCAAGCTTTTTTTCCTCTGTAGGTAAAATTAAGCCTGACGCAGAATAGGAAACATGAAGCCATAGAGTGATGTTCTAATTGCTTTGGAGATACAACAGCAATTCCTGGTTTCATGATTTTTTCTTCCATCTCAGTTTCTGTGCTAACATTTGCTGGGCAACTTCAGAATGAGGACCAGAGATTTCAGAAAAAAGAAAGAAAATACCACTAGCAATTTTTACATTAGCAAAAGTTTCTTTTTTCTCCATGGAGTGTTTTTATTTCAGGGGTACAGTATTACTGGTCTTCTTTTTTATTCAGGAAAGATCTGCGAGTTCTCCAGAACCATTTATACTGGCCTCATGGCAGATCGCCTAACTTGAAAAATGGCAAGTTACTGAGCCCCACAGGGGAAACAAGAAAAAAAAGAGTTGAGTTTCACTGTGGAGCGGGATACTGCTGCCAGGGACACAGAAAACTTAATTTCCTTTCAACCTTGCCTGCCAGATCTCTAGTTTCCTTTGTCTCCTAAAATGGATGGTCCTGGGGACAGTGAGCTAGCAACACTTGGACATGTCATCTGTGGTAAAGGAGAGAAAAATAGAAAAATGAATGCATGCAAAGTCCCAAAAGTCCAGGTGTCCCCTCAATGGGGAGCTTCAGAAGGCGTCGGGTAACAAGGCTCCCACTGCCCCCAGCCAGGCAGCCCGTCTTTGGCTGAGACCTGTTTCCAGGCCAATGAATGCTAAGGGTTTCCAGGATGCCCTGCATCTGGCAAGAAAGTCCCAACGTGCAAAGTGGCCTTCAGAAGGGAGAGGGCACAGTCAAGAGGGTAGGAGTGGGCTCTGTGCTTCTCTGCCACCTTCCCTCCCGCTCATGTCTCATTGGTTCACTCTGTCCTGTTGCAGATTGTGCATTCTGGTGTCTAGTCATACCCACACTTGCATCCTTGGAAGCTGCCATCCCAGGCTCCTGCTGAATTGGTCGTGAGGCCGTAGTGAATTTCATACATTATGGCCTATTCTAGATGCCCTGGCCCTTAAGCAGCACGTCTGCTGGGCCAGGCTGCTGGCTGGGTGAGGTGGCCCAGAACTGTACCCCGCTGGAGTCTTGATCTCCTGGTTGTGCAGTTCTTATCAGGCCTGGCTTGCTGTGTTGCCCATTTATTGGAATCACCAGAAATGGAGATGATACCTGTGAGTACCCTAAGTTCCAGAAATAATCATCCCCGCCCTCAGATTTGATGGACACTCAGGCCCCTGGACAGACCCTCCCTGCCTCGCCCATGAGCCAGGACTCTGTCAATACGCAGCACCCCATGCAAGTATCAGGTTCAAAATATTACTGCAACCCCACCCTGCAACATGTGCTCCCAAAGCTGGGGCCCCTACTGCACCCTCAGGAGGTCCTTTAATTGTTCTATCAGGTGGCAACTCCCACACCCCAGGGTGTGGGTTGTGATAGAACCAGTGGGCCCCGTGATAGTATGGGAAATCACAGGATGATACTTCAGAAACTCCATTAACGAGACAGTGGCCCTTGCTTGGGTCCTGAAGGCAGGGAAGAGAAACGAAATCCAGGAAGTGAACTGGGGTCTGAGGAAGTCAGCTTGCTGTCAGGTAGCTGATGGCAGTGGGAGAAGCTGTGTTACTATTGACTGCACATTGGCTTCTGCAGACAGAGGAGGTGGAGCCATGTCTAGCACTCCTCATTGAGGTCCTTGCAGCCGACCTCCCTGTACTGTGGCCGCTGCACTCACAGACCCACAGTACAGACTCCAGGGGTCTCAGGACACAGACTGGTTGTACCCTGCTGGGTACTCTATGCCCACTTCTGTGGATGTGCTCTGGTGAGCATTCTTGTGAGTTCTCAGGGTATGAGGGGGCAAGATCCACACCATGATTTGTACCTCTGCTTCTCGGCTTTCCATCCAATGGTCACAGGATCATGGAGCACCCAAGGACCCCAGACTGTTAAAAGTTAAATGCTCTAAAGGGATCTGTCCATCCGTGCACACAAAGGCAAAGGAAGCAGACTCTTGTGTGCTAGATCACTAATAGAATTAGTGCACACAGAGAGGAAAAGTTAGCATATTTCTAATAAGAGTTTTCCAATAAAACTTCCAAAATTTCCTCGTGGGTAAATTCCCAGACAAACAGGGTTGGCCTGAAGCAGGGACACTGAGGCCCAAAATCTCACCTCAAGCCTAAAGCACCTGCTGGCGGAGAAGAAGCTCCCAAAGAACTGAGACAACAGGAGAGACCACATCTAGGTTGCAGCTGCCATCGTCAGCTCTTCCGCCTGTCTCTCCGCCATGCAGCGCCTTCAAGTCCCAGGTGCAAGTCAAAGCTGGAGAAGCAAGAGCCCCAGAGCCCACCTGCCTTCCATGGCTCCACCGGGCCACTCAGTGTTGTTCTTGGCTCCCAGGAGCTAGTATAAGGCAGCTGCATGTAAGTGGGGGTGGGAACATGGCGCCTCCCCTGACAATAACTGGCTACTCTGGCAGTTCTTTTGTCTGTGGGAATTTCAAGTCTGGAAGCAGGTAGCATATCTTGATCCTATATAGCTGTAAGGACAGGCTAACCCTCCTGAGGACTTTACCCCCATGCTCCACTGTAATCTAGGGGCAACAAGCACAGACTCCTGTACCCCTTAGGGCAACAAATATGGCAGGTTCTGGAATAATGTTCTCTTGTTGAAGGTCATGTCATCATAACTATGAGAAAAAAACAATCCTGGTTGGCATTGAACAAAATGTTCTTATTCAATGTCCTGCTTCTTTTATATGCCCTTTTGCTTAAAGTTATAGTTTCTAAGAACCTATTGATATTAAGTGAGGACTTAACTATACTAACTTGGCTTAGGGTCAGTTAGGAGAATCCCTTCTAGTCCTCAAAGAGGTGTCTGACTCCTATTATTTGAGACTTTAGATTGTGGGGTGATTTTTCAGTGACCACACACTGTCCAAACGGGGACATTTGTCACAGTGCAAGGGGCACTCTTACTAATTAAGCCAGGGTAGGGGACAAACACCAGAGTCATCTCAGGCAAAGTGGGGTACATGACCCTAGTTATCTGCCATCTTTCCCAGCTGAGAAAATCCCTCCAAATAGCTGTCGCGCAAGCTTCAACTCCATGGGACATCACAATGTCACTTCATTGTATAGACCCTCAACTCCTTTGCACCATGCTCTGCTTTGTAAAACTCCAACCTGCAATTACAGTTATTTTACTCTAAAGCTCTGCCTCCACAAAAGCAGCCTCACACACAGGAGGGTAACTGGTTCCACTTTAAATTGAGGCTCATGCAACCAAAGGAGGGTTTCAGCCTTGCCTGAAATCTTACAACCTCTGAGTAATTTTCTTCACAATATCTAACACCACGATTTTACTTTTTCTCCTTAAACCTGCCTTAGACACCCCATCCACTATTCTAATGGATAACCTCACTGTTTCTTTGCCAATAAAAAAGCAGCAACCAGAAGAGTCTCCACTTTCTCAGGACCACTTTCCCCCATCCCTCTATTGCTCCCCTAAGTGCTGCCTGCTGCAGTCCCTTCCTACCTGACATTCCTTTTCCTCTTCTCACTGGGACATTGGGTCACTCAGCCCTGACAGTTTCTGAAAGAAGCTGCCTACCTTTGTTCCCCTTTGCACCTGTAGCGCCAGCACAGCGCCTAGCTGATGGAGGTGTTCACTGAGTCGAGCTTAATCATCAGAGCTCAGGTTTCCAGACTGTGGACTGGCATTCTCTGTAATTTTCCATGGTTCTGTGAATTTTCTGTGCCATCTAGTCTCCTAGGCTCTCGGCTGCAGCCACAGCGTCTTACCCAGTGCAGAACCCACCACAAATGCACGGAATGTCGACCTCTGGCCTCCTTGAGTTACTCGAGGGCACGGTGCCCAGGGCGCTCCCCTGGAGGTGGCATCCTCCTATCCACCCGGATCCTCCCAGGCTTGCGCCCCGCCCCGCCCACCAGGCTTTCTAGCCCCGCCCACCAGGCTTTCTAGCCCCGCCCACCAGACTTTCTAGCCCCGCCCACCCTCTAGCCCAGGCCCGCCCAACAGCTTCTCCCGCCCCGCCCCTCTGAGAAGCGCTACGCATCGAAGACTCGGCAATCTACTACTTGGCGGATCGATGCCCTCTGTGCTCCAAGTGGGCGGAAGTGAAGGCACAGCCGGTTGGGGCGACCGCGATCCGGGAGTTCTCCGTGAGAACGGCGGGGTTTGTGTTGGCGCTGGCTGTAGTGGCGCAGGCTGGAGGTATGTGTCGGATCCCGGAGTCCTGGTTGAGTAGTGGCCTCGGAGCTCGGGAACGCAGGGCGGCGCCCAGCGGCGCAGGCCTTGCTGCCCCTTACGAGGTGCTGTGGGGGATGGCCGTGGCCATCGCCTGCACCCCTGGCCAGTCTGTTCCTGACGGCAAAGGGGCGGGAGCCGCGCGCCGACGGTCCCCAGACGCGCCGTCCTTGGGCACCTGCCGCAGTGTCTGAGCCCCGTCGCCCCCCGCCGACTCGGGCCTCTCAGAACCGACCCGGCGGGGACTGGCGGTCGTTGGCCTCTCCGCCCCCTCCCGCCGCCTGCGAGGTCGTCACTCTGTAGGATGTGGGAATTCATTCCTCAGAGCGAATTACAGGCGTGTTTGGCTTAGGTTTGTTTCAATTTAGAGCTGTACCGAGCATTTGCTAGGTGCCTCTGAGCGTTTATATTAAAGTGCTGATTTAATCCACTCGAGAGGTAGATTGTATTCTTTTGTGTTCTCCCCCCTTTACAGACTGGGAAACCGAAGCCCTAGAGTGGTTAAATCACTAGCCTGAAGTCCTGCACTCAATGCTTTTACTGTCATTGCGACCACTTAGTGAGGTTGGTTCTCACCCACCCACTGTGTTCTAAGTCTGGCTCTGCTTAAAAGGGAATCTCAAGATTTTGTAACAAGACACTTTGTTAATTACAAGAGACAGTTCTTGAAAGCTTGTCTTGACATGGAAGTAAACTGTTTTTCATCCATAGTGTCCAATCACACCAGTAAGTAGGAGGAAATGTGTTTCATTTCTTTTATGCATACATGACTACACTTACAAGGAAAATTTAAAAATAAGTTTTAAATCGGCCACCCCTTAATTAAATCATTTGGGTGCACTGTGTGGAAAAACTAGTTCCGAGTTATGTCCTCTGATGCCTAATAACATTTTGTCAATGATAGTATATTTTGGCCAGACTTTGTGTAACACATTCTGGTGACAGAGGCATTTAAAGCCAAACTCTTCCCACGAAAATCTTAAAACTTGAATCAGAGGGTGGTGATTGGAAGATGTGCTTAGTATTTAACTGTTAGTACTTAAATAAAAAGATGTACTTAGTACTTATCTGTCTTCTTCTGTTTGATTACATAGAAACTTCATAATTTTAAGCAAAGAAGCCGAGGATCCCCACTGTGTAACTTGGAACTGCTCCTCGAAGTTTAAGAAAATGTTCCCCCCTTCCCACCAAACATTTAATTTCCTGTACTGAATATCACTTTAAAGTATTACCTTTCTAAAAGATAATTATTAACCTGTTAGGTGAAATTTTCATTCATTCCACAAATGTTTGAGAGCCCATGATGTGTGATCCTTATGGGAAATGAAATTGGTACTTAAAAATAAAGTCGGTCTTCTCATAAAGGACTTTGGAGGATTTTTGTGGAAAGCAGTGGTAGGATTAGGCCATATAGGAAATGCTAGTTATGTGGCTAGTCCCTCAGTTGCTTTTCACCCATTCTCCAGCTTCTTTTCATCTAGCTAGGATTCCTAACTGGTGCGGCACCTACCACATAGTAGGTGCTTAGGTATTTGTTCAGTGAATTTGTTTTAGACCAGTGTTGAACAGAGAGGATTTTGAGGTTGACTTGAATGGGAAATAATGCTGATCACTCTGCTAAGCAGTGTGCTAGATGCTAGATTGGTCTAGACTCTGGAAATGTGCTCAGAGATCCCCTAAGTGGCATGTTGAAATGACATGGTAGTAGCTTTCAGTTGTGATCAGTTATGTTTATGTTAATTGCAAAGAATTCTTATTGATGTGAACACACATTTAGAGTGTCTGCAGAGAAATTAGGAATTTCGAAGCTGTGGCCACACCCATTGGTACCCTTGGACTTCCATGTTGAAAATTATAGAGTCAAGAGGTATTTGGGCTTGGGGATCAAAGCATCCCATGCCTTTCCACCCTTCTGTCTCACAGCAGCGGCTGAGCTACTTCCATTCTTTGTACTTAGTTTTCCTTTTTCCTATAGTTAGCGAATACCTCCAACGAGATTATCTCAACGAATTCTTCCTGTTTTGAATTTTTTCCAATTCAGTGAATCCTGTAACCAGTTAGCACTTGTCTTCTAGTATTGTCTTAAGGGCTGTCGCTATTAGTGCTGTTTACGGATCTGTCAAAAGGCTCAGCTCTTGCCACACAGGAATTGCTTTCAATCTGTATCTCCCAGTTTTTGCAGGTGCCTGACATATACATTAGAAATCAAATAACGTCAACCTGCATTCAGAAGGGGGAATTTTCCTTCTCACTTAAAGCTTACCTAAGAACTAACGTGTCCAATTGAGTGTAAGTACAGCAGGAATTCTGAGAAAGGGGGGGAATCTGCTGTTGGAATAGGTTGAGTGGGGAATCTGGATGGGGTGGCATGTGGGTGCTGCACACTAGGAGTAGAGGCCCACTGGCTGGTCATTGGGTGCATTTGGATCACGGAGCACCATGAAGGTCAGCCAGAGGCATCTGGAACCAATTTATTAGGCATTTCCCCCCCTCTAGACAATTGCATTAGGCATTCTCAAAAGTTTTATGGATGTTCTTTAACTTAATGTTCTTGGTGGCATTTAGCATGGGGTGGGTCATGCAGAATTTGCTTTATTTTTGTTTTTGATTTTAGTAATTCCTCCTACTTACTGGTTCCCATGTTGAATATATCCTGGTGCCAATAATGGAAAACACAAGGGACCTGAGACTTAGGAAACCTGGATTTTAGTTGCTGGAAAGCCAGCTGCCCAGGGGGATGGAAGCAGGCGTGGAGAATGGTGCTTGGCACCATTCAGTTCCCCTGTGCCTGCCCACCAATTCCCCACACCCCCTGGCTCCGCTGCTTTGCCAAGGTTGAGCCTTGGTATCATCTGTGATGAACTTTTGCAGGCCTTTTCCTGATTTTAGAGGGTCTGTGATTTTAACTTTCATTGTGTTATCCTTTTGCTGAAAGAGAAAACAAGACAAAAAGTCAGGAATATTTGTTTTTGGTTTAATGTTAATGAAAGCCCCATGGGATTGACCTATCTTTCTAGATAAGTCAGGGTCTCAGCAGGAATCAGAATTCCTGCCAGATGGTTCAAATAAGGAGATTTTAATAAAGGGACTGCATGCAGAAGTGTGGGCTGGGTTAGGGAACAAACTAGGGACATGAGACCTTAAGAGAAACTAACAACAACAAAGGGACAAAAGGAGAAAGTAGGGCCTGCTGAGAACTGGAACCACAGAGGGGGAGACTGGGGCCAGGGACAACGTGGGGAAGGGAGACTGGCGCAGGGCAAACTGAACCCGACCTCCTCAGAAATCCACAGCTCCAGCCCCTCACCCTTTGCATAGAGTCCCCTGACCATCTAACTCTCAGTTACCCCAGCCCACCTGCTCTTTGACCTGAGCTTGGCTACTCATTCCAGTGTGATCGGTTGTAGCATCTTCCTTCCCGCCTCCAGCTGATAAATTGCAGCCTCTTTTTTGTGCTTTAATGCTTGAGCTGAGACCAGCAGGGAAAACCCCGGCCTACCCCGGCCTCTGGAAATCCATTGTCACCAGCCTCTGGCTGTCAAGCTGTCTTCTTGAGCTTTCCTCTTCAGCACTACATCCATTCTCTGAAGCAGCTATTTTAAGCATTTTCCATTCGTCTCACATCTCTTAGCCTTTCACATAATTCACACTCTTAACAGGCATTTTGACCCCTCCTTCAGACCTAATAGGGCAGCGGTGAGAGGACTATCCCTTGTCTTTTCTTTCAAAGAAACATTTGCTCTTTCTCCAGTTCCCTTGAAAGAGGGACTTTTGTCTGAGACCACCCTGCCTCTGGTCCTCCCTCTCCTGCCCTCAGGAGCTCTTCACTCAGTTGTTCATCTTTTGCCAGAGGCTCCTTCCTGTCAGCAGGTTTTCTTAGGGACACACAACTAGAAGCACAACAGCAAAAACAACAAGAAGAAACAACCCTCCTTTGATTTCTCATTTCCCTTGTTAACATCTCTTTCTCTCCCAGACACATTTCTTAAATAGTGGCTGCTGCACAGCCTCCGCTCACGCGTCCCACTGCTGTCTGGACTTGGCACCATCACTCACTCGATGGCAGGCCCATTTTGGAAGACCAGGGTGGCCTGGGACTTCCCTGTCATTACATCTGTTCTTGTCATTTCCCCAGTCAAGAGCCCAGGACATAGCCGATATCTCCTCATATTTGTTTTTAAATTATTTTATTTTATAAAAATATGATTTTTAATTCTTTTTATTTCATTTTAAATATTTATATTTATTTTGACTGAAGAATCTGAGGGTATTTCCTTGTTCCACACCCCAGTTAATGCTTTGGGGTGCTCAGTAACCAACCCCTGTCCGTATCCTAGGGCTTCTTGATGGACTAAACAAAGATAGAAATGAATTTTATTTGCTAATGAATGCTTCAAAATTGCTCAGGTAATCTTCTTTCGGGGGCGGAAGGGGGTACCTAGAAATTTTTTTTTTATCTGAAAATGGAGTTTCCTAAAATACCAAGAACTAATGTTTTATCCTCCCATGTGAGTAAGATAAAGAGGGAGTGTCAGGGACGTGAGTGTAACTGGTAATAGATTGATGAATGAAGTATGCTAGCCTTTTATTTAAAATTACTTTTCCTTCTTTCTTCCTTAAGTAGTGAATCTTGTTTGAGATACTTGTTTGCATGTTTGTTTTCTTGGGGGGCTGGTGGTGGATGGTGGCGTGTGAGCCTGGGCCTGTTTGGTGGCAGATGGTGGCGTGTGAGCCTGGGCCTGTTTGGTGGCAGAAGGGTGTGCGCCTTCAGACTGCCTGCTTACTGACTTTGAAATGCAAGGAAGGGAATCACCCTCTGGGAAGACACTAGCCTCTGGAGCAGAGATCTGAGAGTTTCTGGGAAATAAAGGAGACCTTTAATAAACACTCCTCATTAAGCTGGAATCTAGTACTTGTTTGAAGAGAAGAGTTTTGTCATCAAGTATGCCCGTAGCAGTTATGCGTGT